GCTCGTAAATTGGCGCGCGCGCGATCGTTCGTTCGTTGGAAATTACGAGGCGACTTCGGCGAAAAGTTTTTCACACACGTAAGCCATTATGTCGGCTGCTGCTGCTGGCTTGGGTAGTTGTCTGCAGCGAGAGCGTGAATTGCATCGCACGCGTGAACACACACACACACACGAGAGGAGAAAAGGATCATTGACCGCATTTTGCGGAGGTATATACAGCGACGACGTTGTATGGTGTATATCGCAAAATCGACATCGGCAGGGATGATTAATAGTGTACTTCGAGTCTCGAGGTATATTATATATTGCCGAGCGAGCTAATTGTAACTAGGCTACGTGGACATAAATAATTAAACATCAATAAAGTTAGTTACTTACTTTGCTTTGATATATACAATTATTCTTACTTTGCCACTTGCAGGTTTACAAACAAAGGTACTCGCCATCTAGCGGTGGAGTCTTGAAGTATGGTCTAAGTTTTTTGAAACCATTGAATTTTCATTTTCAGTTACTCTAAAATTAGCTTATACTTTCTAACGCAAACATAACAGTATCAAATAAACGATAAAAAACATCGGTAAAAATCATCAAACTGGGCCTCGATTTTATACAATTATTTTGACTTAACCACTTGCAGATTTTAGTGATGAAGGTTCTCGCCATCTAGTGGTGGAGGCTCAAAGTATTATTATCGTATCTAAAGTAGTTGAAAACTGTGCTAAATTTTCTGAAACGATTTAATTATCATTTGCAAATGATTAAAAATACTAATATTCATGACATAATAACAACAATATAACAATCATTGTCAGAAATAAGCCAATCAATGATCATTATTTTAAAATATTATAAATCGTCGTTTTTTTATCGTAAAGCTACGATTAATGTTGAGCGTTTATGTCAGGGCAAAAATTATTCAATTTCACTCTCTAAAAACTTGAGTCGATCTTCAAATCAATTCGCGATATGCTAACAATATATACCGTAATTTTTTATACATTCAAATTAATTTAGATTGGAACTAGGTACTCGAAACTCATTTTTTGAGCAGTTTTGAATGAACAACAACAATTCGTGAATGAGTATACACTCGGTTGGTGCTAAACGGTATACAACAACGTCCGTGTACGCGCCGTCAACTCTCGACGGCGAATCTGGAACGTCAATATTTTAGGAAATCGCGTATAATTACCGACTAGATTTTTATCGAGATTATAGTAGCCGAGTGTACTTATAATACCATCGAATTAACAGTTATGCACTATTAGGTCAAAGATCCGTATCCTCACCGAAGAATGTTTTTTTTTCATTTTGTACAGTGTCTCGTATAGTCGAAAAAAATTTTTTCTTTCTTTCGGCTCTCGATGTCAAAGAATTTTCGAGCGTGAATTAAATGGAGCACGACGCAAGGAAGAGAAGTCAAAAACAAATCTTTTCGTGTCCGGCGAGGCGTGATTTATAATCGGAGAAACACATCGCGACGCGCGATTATGTACATTTCTTTTTTTCACACATACAGAGCACACATCGAAAACGATCGGCTAATCCGATCGCGTTCTACCGCGCGCGCCAAAGCAGCTATATAAGTCGTATCTAGCCCGCGAGACAAGACAAGACAAGACAAGACAAAAAAAAAATAAATCTCATCCATGGAGAAAGACAGAAAAAGATACACGTGTGCGTAAGCGAGAACTTTCTCTTTCATTCAAAAAGGATCATCGCGTATTCCCGAAAGTGCGCATCGTTTTCGAGCGTGTCTGACGCATAATAATATAAACGAAATGACGCTTATATACATTTGTAATTAAATAATGGTTAAACATCCAATTCACGAGCTGCTGTCGATAATAATAATAAAAAAAAGGAGACGAGTAAAGAAAGAAAGAAAAGAAAGGTGAAATTATCAATGAACCGTGCGAGGTGGTGGTATATACGAGTTTAAGCTTTCCTTATACTGACGTATAGACTCGTTCGGCGCCACGGCGAGAGATGTATCTGTGCTTTTCATTAATGTTAATGGAAGAACTAAGCGCGTACATGTATACGCGCGCGCGCGAAAGAGAGTGAAATCTCTCCTTCTATCGGTGTGTGTGCGAGAGACGCGTCTCGATGCATGTATATCATGGTCAGATACAGAAAAATAGTTAATAGGAAAAAAAAAGAAAGGGACTCGCAATGACGCAGATGATCGTGTTTCGTAAAGGTATGGGGCAATATTAATTGATGATTCATACAGACAATATTGCGCGTAGCAGTATTAGAACATATTACTATATTAAAGAAAAACAGTAAAAATACGTGTAAATCGCTTATTGAAAAAGAAAGCGCATCTCGTGTGGCGGTGCCAACTATACACAATGCCCGGAGCTGGATCATAGAACTGTATATAAGCCGAGGACGGTCAAAAGTTCAGTGCCACTCTGCGTGGTTCAGTCCCTCACTGTGTACGTTAAAAAAAACCAATAGCGCATTTGATTCGATATATCATATAGATGCTCCTTTGCAGTCCGTTGCAGCTGTCGGCGCGCCAAAAAAGCTCGCGCCAAAACTTTCACTACTATTGAGGCAGGTTTTACTTACTATACTTACTCGCGCAAGGTGTTAATCTACTTACGGCCGATTCGCTAAATGCTTTCTTTGCGTATTCGACGACTATTTTTTTTCTCTCTCTCTCTCTTCCAGCGAACTTCAACCTCGTTTATTTTTCCTTTATCTGTGTACATTCTGGCTCATTCGAGGAAGAGAAAAAAATGCATTTTAAAACGAAGTGTTTTGCAACTGCTACTCGCGCGAATATATTAAGGATTCAACGATCGCTTAACACCCTGGGTAATAATAATCGGCATAAACTCTTGATTTTACGCGCGCATCGCTCCAAGTTCTACGAATCACGCTCTCTTGCATATTACGTCGAAAATGTACTCTCGAGTCCTAACGGTTAGCTCGGCAAAAGCTTTTCATTTTCGTTCCGTGCGCAGCTTATTTGCAGATAAATCTCTCGGCTACAGCAAAAAACATAAATAAATTATTCGAGCTTGGGCGTTGTGTTTCGTTTTGTTCTTAAAGAAACGATAAGAAGTACACATGTACGAGGAAACGAGTCGCTATAGACCACGAGGTCACGGATGTTCGTTATTTTCGCGAGCTCCTATTTAGCTCTAATTCTCGTGCACGTGCGGGTGCGCGGCCGCGCACTTTCGCGATCCAATTCGAGCATAGTCGATATTAACAATGCTATGCACATTTCTTTTTTTTTTTTTTTTCGTAAAACAAACAAACCTATCCACTTTTATCAACATCGAATTTTCCAACATCGAATATCATTATAAACCCTGAATAAATGAGCTATTATATTATGTACGTTCGAGACGCGCACTCGCAAATTGTGCAAATATAAGAGAGCTGTCTATTGACTCTCTTTCTTTTTAAAAGCTCTCGATGCTCGTGCATACGTGCGCGCATTGCTTAGCCGAGATATTATAAGTGCACGAGGACGACGACGAGGCACTTTGACGCACGCGCTGGAAAATTTTCTACTTTTTCTATTTTACGACGCGCGTCTCGTCGCGACCGAAATTTCTTGCATATTTCATTATCTCAGACGCGTGTACGGAGAGAAAAAAAACATACTACCATCGTCGACCGCAAATTCAGGAAATTAATAAAAATAAAAAATAAATTGAATATGTATCGAAAGGTAATAACGATACGTAGACAGTTACGTTTTCTGCGCGTTTAGATCGTGGACGCGTCAACAACACCATAACTTTTCATCGCGTTTATGTAAAAACGATAAAAAAAAAAAGATATAATATAAATCGCGGAATCTCGCGACTTTCTTTTTCGATTATAATAATACACGTCGCGCGCGCGTCCTTTGACGCTGCTACACGCACATATCGATCGACGAAAAAAAAACAACAACAAAAAAACATACCTACCTGCGTGAATGAAAGCTGCTCCGTGCGCAGTGTATATAAAGTTACAATTATTATTCATGAACGCGCGTTTGTGCGGATAAAATAAAAAAGCTCCCAAGCCCGCGCGCGTCACGACTTAAACTTTTACTTTCTATCGCGGCGTGGCTGCTCTATACGTGACGTCGTCGCGTTGTCTCGCGGAGGTATTTTTTTTTTTTTAATTTTATTTATCAGTTTCGTCATGAATTACACTGATTTTTTTTTAATCCATCACGATTACAGGTGGAGAAACAAAGGTAAGTGAGAAACAAGACATTTCATAGAAATCTCTCTCTAAAGCCCCGTAAATTTGGCCACAGACGATCGAACTTGTTTCTTTCCTCTCTCTCTCTCTTTCTTTCCGTATATCGAAAGTGTGCGATCGCTCGAGCGCGTAAATTAATCTATATACAGTAGGGAAAAGTGCCGAAATCAAAATCACCGTGTACAAGTGTACGTATGTATGTGTATAATAGGCCCCGTTAAAGGCTGCGTGCTCGAGCTTACGCATACATACATATTTACATCTGCGTATACAGGTGAAGAGAGAGAAAAAAAAGAGGCAGACGTATAGACTCGGTAGCCAATTGCCCATAGCACCAGCAGCAGTAACAGCAGAGGGGATATGTATGTGCGTACGTACGTATAACGCAGCATCCGCGAGGTGTGGACGACGACGACGACGACGACGACGTCCCGAAGAAAGGGAAGAGGCATGTGTGCGTATATGAGTCGACAGATAAAGAGCACCATTCGAAATTTCTTCGCATTTTTCTCTCTCTCTTTCTCTGTCTAACGGAGACGCCTAAGCAAAAGGTGGCTGGCCGCTGCGGACGGCTGCTGCTACGGACGGCAGAATATAAATACTCTCGTCAGGACAACTGTCAAGACATATTCGGTTTCGTCTCGCAGCGGAGTACATCGTCACTTACAGTGTGTACCCACCCAAGTTACTTACAGTTGTTCGTCGTCAACGCGAGTGTGAATCACAAAGTTCGTTGTTTCAAAAGTTTGATCAAGAAGAAAAAAAAAATCAAAACCATGAAGTTCGTCGCTAGTTTGATCCTCGCCCTGGCCCTGTTCGGCGCCACGGCCTACGGCCAAGAGCTCAGCGAGTGCCTCGAGCAGGACAGCATCTCGTGCGTCCAGAGGAGCATCTACAAGAAGGCGCGCGCCTTCTTCGACCGTGACAGTTTCGAGCTCGTCAGCGGTGTGAGCTTGGTCAAGGTCCAGGGCAGAAGCGCGCGCAGCGGCGACAAAGCAGCTGCTGAACAAGCCGTTGAAAGCGCCGACGACATCATGACCAGACAGAACGCCATCGAGGGATACGTGGGTACCGAGGCCGTCAACTTCCTCAGCGGACGCAGCCTCAAGGTTAATATATTTTCGACGGTGTTGAAAAAATTGTGCACAGTGCGATCGATCGAGTGAAGTTTACTAACTCTTCCCCCCATTTCTTTAACACACAGGTCAACTTCGCCCCGATGGTCGAAAAGATCGGCAGCACCGCCCGCTCCCTGACCAGCTCCGTGCCCGCCGAGATCCAAGCCGTGGCCGACGACATCGCCGAGGGCCGCAGCAAGAAGAAGCACCTCATGAAGAAACTCATGCCCCTGATCATGCTCGCCAAGGTGAAATTCGGCGTCCTGGCCACCCTCGGCTACTTCGCCCTCGCCCTCATCGCCAAGAAGGCCCTGCTGGTCTCGTTCGTCTCTCTGGTCCTGTCCGCCATCGTCGGTCTCAAGGGTCTGTTCTCCAAGGGCAGCCAAGGTCACCACGACACCACCGGCTACAACAACGCCTGGGCCGGCAGCCAGAGCGCCGCCAGCTGGTCCGCCCCCGCCCCGGCAGCCTCCTGGTCCGGAGCCGCCGCCCCACACAGCTGGGACGAGAGCGCATCCGCCGCCGCACAGGCTCAGGCTTACTCCGGCTACCAGCACTAAAACGCGAACGGTTGACTTAGTCCACTACGTTAGGTATATAGAGTAAAAACAAGTTATTTAAAAAGAAAAAAAAACGTTATCTCTCGTCGGCCTTTGGTTGGTCGTCTCCGACGAAAAAGAAAAGAAAAGAGAAGCTTTATTGCTCTGGCTGCTGCCGCGGCGCACGCCGAGTTTCCTTTTCTCCCTTTTTTCGATATATTTGCACTCGAAGAAAGGAAGAAAAGGTTCGTGTGAGACGTCGAATCAAACGTAACGAGGTTCGAGACTCCACCGAGTCTTGAAAAAAGCCCGCATCATCCATCCGTCCATTTTAATTGTTAATATTTAAATGCATTACCTTCGGGGCACTTAGCGTTGATACGATACCGTTCGAGCTCGACCGTCATTTTTCGTAACCATGATCATTATCGCGCATTGTCATTCCATACTCTAGTGTACATAAATAATTTATCTTGATAAGAAAAAAAATCACATTATGCATTGCATTACACATTGAAGGAAAAAATGACTCGGCCGTTCGAGCGGACAATCCGCGGTGTAAATATAATATTTCTCATGAAAAAAAACAGGCGATTGCCATCAATGGCTAAACATTCGCAATCGTCTTCATCGTTGTTCTTCATCGATAATTGTTCATAATATGTGTATTGTTTAAACGATATCCCTCGGAATCTTTGTACAACTGCGACCGTTTTTTTGCTTTTTCTTCGTTAATGTTAACAAAAGAGACTAGTCGTTTGTTACCCATTTATAAATGCTCTCTGCGTCATGAAATAATAATGTGTGCCAGAACGTAACAAAAAAAAAATGAGAAGAAAGAGAAGAGAAACGAAAATTCACATTGTAACAACCGATCACTTGGGTGTTTTTATAAATACACTTTTGTTGAAAAAAAAACCAAATTGAATCACACACGTCTCGTGTACATATTAATTTCTTTCCTACACCTCCTCATTACCTCATACATCAGAGCTCGATGCCAATGATAACCTAATTCAAACGATATACAAGTATAATAAAACTGCGCAACAGCATGGATCGAGACTCTCTTTTTCACATAATATTATATCGGCCAAAAATCGCTGCCGCGTAACCGCTACTGCGCATATGTGTGCAAAGAGGATCGCGTACACGAAGAAGAAGAAGCAGAAGAGGTGCGCAATTAAGCCATCAGTTCGATAAACAAGAGATAGCTTGCCGAGCGTGTCGCGCTTTACCGTGAAAAGTCTTTTTTTTTCTTTTCCTTTACAGTTGGGAGCGCTTGTTCTCGTCATCGGGACTCGGGTCTTGTATGCACACACATGTGCGTGCGCGCGTGTGCACCTCATTCGAAAGCCTAAGCAAATAGAGAGACAAAGAGAGAGAGAGAGAAGAAAAGGAGGAAAAAAAGTCATTTGTGTACCTATACCCGATAACGTGTCATTGGCTACTCGAGTATGCACACACATACACACACGCGCATAGGTACAGTAGTGCACTCCCACGCAGGAGTCAGAGAATCAGCGAGGCGCAATCAGTGCAGTCCTTTTCGCTTGTCCGTCATCAAATCGGGGCCTTATATCTGCAGCCGGCTCGTTCGCGAGCGCACACGCACATCCTCGTAGGCGATCGTTGCTAGTCGTTGTTGTTTTTTAGTTCTCTCTGGCGATAAAGCATTCGTACATACAAATATATACGGAGCGGCGACGATATAGGAGACACAGAGAGGCTGGTAAAAAAAAAAACGAAGCAAATATATACAGTGTGCGTGAGCGTAAGTGTGCGTATGTGTACTCGAGCGTAAGGAATAAAATAAAATAACGTAAAAAAAGTACAACGTAAGACGACTACGACGACGACCAGGAAGAAGTGGGCTTCGCGTGCGCGCATCGCACGAACGAGCGAGAAGGGGACCGACCGCTGCAGCGCGTATGCACCACATGCACAGAGGAGAGTCCGAAGAGAGAGAAAGAGAGAGTAGGGACGCGCGACTTGGACCACACGAAAATTTCGCCTGAACTGGTTTGCTGCGAGCGCGAAAAAAAAGAGGCGGTGCAATAAAGGTACACTTACATGCGAACAAGCTCGTGTGTGCACTTATACACACACACGCGCATTTGTGCATTGCACTTCTTCTTCTTCTTCGTCGTCTTCTTCTCTCCTCTCTACCTTTTGGCCTTTCTGCGGATCTCGTCGGCGGCAAATACGACGACGACGACGACGACGTAAGTACGACGCCCAGTACTTTCGCGAGGTATATATACTAAAGGACCAACACCTGCGTGCTTGATTCGTTTCTCGGCTGCTTGTTCGGAAAGACGTGCAACTTGCATCATATACATATAACCCTATACATACGCATATCCGCATAGAGAGATATATTGTCGATTCCTCGGCAATAACTCGAACGAATATAATAAACGATCGACAACAACGACACGAATAAAATAAAATAATGAAGTTCATCCTAGTGACTGCGTCTCTGCTGCTACTGTTCGGGTGTTGTCGGGCTCTGACGGTCGACGAGTGCCTGCAAAAAGACAGTATAACATGTGTTCAGAAAAGTTTGTACAAGAGGGCGAAGGAGCTGTTCGAGAAGGACAGCTACGAGCTCGTCGCCGGAGTTAGTTTGGTGAAGAGCCACAGAGACGACGGAGCCCGTAGCGGTAACGGAGGAAAGGCGGCCAAGTACGAGGAGGAGATCGAGAAGGCGAGCGGAATCGGCGAGCGCCAGGCTGCACTGGAGAACTACATCAGCGAGGAGATCGGCGACTTTTTCACCGGGCGCAGCTTGAAGGTCAGTTGTTACAGCTGCAGTGTCGATCGTGCCTTTTTTTTTTGCAAACGCGTCGGTTTTTTTTTTCTTTTTGATTTAAGAAAAGATCTATATCGTTACAAAAATTTGTTCAACACAGATTAACTTCTTGCCTGTGATCGAAAAAATCGGCGAGTCCGCACGAGCCCTGAAAGAGTCGATCCCGGCCGAGATCAAGCAAGCAGCGAGCGACGTTGTCGAAGGTGAGTGTGTGTCACGTTTCTTAAAGCGTCTTGATAAGACGTGTAAACGCGCAAAAAAAATTGCATAAAATTTCAGCGAGATCATTGTTCGATAAAAAGAAAATTTCACGATCATCGCGAACATCTTCGATGATTCGATCTTTCCTTCGATTAAATCATGCACAAGATCGTAAAACGTAAGAGACAATCGATCGCCGATCTCGCCGATCGAAACTCGCGGCACGTGTATAATATTATAATACAAGTTACGCGTCGGCTCGATCGTGCTAATCGGCCCGGTGCGTACATAGTATATACAAGGAAAGCTGTGTCGTAATCACGCCGTGCAGTAACCCACATATAGACGCCGGCGCGCGCGCGAAGCTTATAAGCCATACAGGCACTCGCGCTTTCCCTCGCGGATCGCGCGTTGCTGCCTGCATCTCTCTCGAACGAAGCCAGAGCTGTGATGTGATTTTTTGTCGAACAGGTCGCGGCAAGAAGAAGCTGCTCAAGTCCCTGTGGCCGGTGCTGATCCTGGCCAAGGTCAAGCTCGGCGTGCTCGCCTCGCTCTTCTACTTCGGCATCACCCTCATCGCCAAGAAGGCCATCATCGCCTCTCTCATATCGCTGGCGATCTCGGCCTTCATCGGCCTGCGCAACTACATGACCAAGAGCATCAGCCACGACGCCACGGCCTACTCGAGCGGCTGGAGCAGCGGCGCCAACGCCATCTCGTCGGCGGGCTGGGCCGCCTCGCCCCAGTTGAGCGTCTCGAGCGGCCCCGCCATACCTTCGTCCGGATGGGCCGCGGCGCCTCAGGCCATACCCGGCGGTGGCTCCGGCTGGGAGGACATCTCCGGAGCTTACTCGGCTCAGAATCAGGCCTATCAAGCGTATCGTCACTGATTCGACACACATCTAAGTCGTGAATGATGATTATTATTTTTTTTTTTTTTTTTGATACCTGGACGAGTGAATGATTTGCTTGATTATATCGAGATTGAGAAAGAAAAAAATTCAAGTCGTTTTTTGTCGTTTTTCGAAAGTATCTAGTTAAGACTGTTCACGTATGAGATAACGATTACATAGATTTAGTCGACAGCAAATTTATAAAGCAAAAATGTTTGACAATCAAAAAGTAGAAGAGGATAGATTAGTTTATACTCGACACCACCATAAAATGTTACGTTATTGTTACTTACTTATTTTTTCATACAACGTATTATTATTTAATTTTTTTTTCTCTCCTAGACGTAAAAAAATAACGCCAATGGTTACATAACTTTTGTACATATCACTTCATGGTTACGTAAATTGCATAGTTTATAAATATAGCATTGTGCGAATTTAATCAAATTGCGGTACACATTGTAATTTGCTAAGCTCGCGAGCGCATCACATCAACTACATCGCTCAAAGACTTTCACTGCTGCGCCTGCTGTGTGCCGCGGATGATAATAATAATGCGTATTTAGCGGTTAATTTTTATTCTATCATAATTACAATCATCATTACATTAATTGTTTATATCATCAATGTCATTTTACTGTATACTTCACCTGCAACTCTGTTTTCCATCAATCATGTGTTTTTTTTTTCGTAAAAATTCGTTTTACAAATACAAAATGTGGTTTTGGTTATTTCTCCACTTTATGAACCTCAAACATTCAATATAAATTCGTTACAACGTGCGTGAATCATTGTAAAATTATCCTTTTAGCGTGTATAGGAAATTCAACCCGCAGTAGCGTTTCCGTTAAAGGATGTTTTTCCCTTCACGCATGAGCATATACGTATGTACGCGAGATGGCTTTTTATAACTTTCTCAAAATGTCGCTTTAAGTATGCCAACACACTATTTATTTTTTCCGGGTTTTGTCTGTATGTGTGTGTGTGTTTACTGCTGCGGCAAAAACAGCATTAAGTGTCCATTGAATCTGCACCGCGCGCGCAGCATTCTTCCGGCATTGCGGTAAAAACGCTACTACATTTATCGCGCTTTAAAAAACATGTGTGTTCCCGAAGACCTAAAATGTAAATTTTCCATCGAACTTTGAAAAAGACAAACAGTTCATAAACAATAGCCGGAGATTCGTGGGTCACTCGTTTATTTATGGTTTTTACTCGTGAATCGTTGCATCGAAAAGTAATCCCATTACCCAGCTCGTATCAATTATATTTCGTGCGTATTTTTCGTGCGGAATAAGTAGCACGCAATAATTCTACCACACATGCGGCGATCGATAATTTTTACCGTTATACCTTCAAAACTCGATCCTTCGGCGTTCGCGGGCATTAAAAAATTACGCACGCCTCGTAGTTTGTACACGTTGCATCTTTGAGAGATTCAATGTATAATATACGCGAATAAAAATGTAAAGTAATAGCCTCTTACATACGCCATGCATATACTCGAACGATCGCGCATCAAATTTAACAATCAATTAAATAAATACATTAATATATCACAAGTTGTAAACTGTGTGTGTGTATTGGCTCTCGGAGCTCAATTTGTGTGTTACCGATTTTCAAAAGTAGGTCGTCGATATATACACCCAAACGAATTCAGTGCGCGCGGAGTGCCCAGAATTTTCACGTGAAACATATAGGATACGTGGCGAAAATGCAATTTACTATTGGGATTATTTTTATCTCTCGAGTAAATTTCGAATTAAACGCATATAATACGTTCGAGCGTAGAAAGTACAAGAGTCGAGAATTAATTTGTTGGTAAAACGATGATAGAATCTTGGAGCAAAGAAAAAAAAAACATCGGTATACGTTTCAATTAGTCCGAGATAGTTCATTGATTGCGAGACTAATGAAGTTTTCTTAAATGAATTTTTCAAAAATCGATTGCTCTCTATATTAGCCAACTAGACGAACGACGAACGGTTTTGCCGTGTACAACATTTACCAGCGGGTACAATTCCTGCCGTATCGACGATCAGTATATAAAGCTTCTTGCCATTTTTTACGTGGATATAGAGAATAGCGAGTTTTTTTCAATAGTTACTGTGTACCGATCGATTACTATTTACCAACTAGTACGATGCATTTTTCTACGATTTAAATGGTCTGGTACTGAATGTAACAAAAAAGTGTCTTCACACGAGCTCGTAGGATCTAAGCAGCTTTTCATTTGACGAAGATTAAAATCGTTTAGCGATGTGCATGGACAACGCACTAAACTTCAAATTCCATATCGTTTTGAAAGTCACGCGTCAAATGAAAAGGCCAATATAGCGCATTCGAAATTTGGATCTGCACTGGTTTCATGTTCATCAAAATATAAAGATCTCATTCCCTAGGAAGTTTATTTTAGTGAAATTTCAACCAGGGTATAGTGAAAAAATTAATTTTCATGATTAAGGACGTAGAACAGTATTGGCTCAGAACCAAAACAATACGGATTTACTGAAATTGTATAAACTTATCATTTTAATAATATCATATCAAATTAAATGAGCATTGCTCCCACACGTTATATCATTATTTATTACCAAAAATTGGAATACTGCCATTCGCCAAAAATTGTAAATTATTAAAAGTCACAGCAAATCGTTTTTCAATGTGCTTATTGAATACATTAGACATTTATAAAGTAATAAAAAAAGTATATAAGTATCAATGGTAAAAAGTAAATAAAAATTGAAAACCCTAATAAATCTAAACCCAGTTGTACGTGACCTAAAAATCTTCTGGCACCATCTTGATAATGTGTACATATTTACTCTCTTTCTTTTTCGAACAAAAGAATCTTTTCAAATACTCTAGATATCTGAGCACTTTGATCTGATTAATATGGCGTCATAAAATATCTATGGAAATGATAACTACTTTTTTAGAAATAACTACCCCTATGTAAAACAAGTGCATTTGGCCAAGATGATGACAAATTTTAGAAATCATGACTGATCTCAAATATAAATTGAAATAATAATAGAGAAATTATTCTATATTATCATGTTCTTTCTTCCGAATGAATTAATTGTTTTTAAAAAATTATAATTAACGATTAAAATTTATCATGATAACATTAGCAAAGTTACATCACTAGTAGTGGGTTATGGAGCAAGCCACCCATGCAATGGCGTGACGACAAATTTTAGAATAAATATCAAAATTTTTTATTATTTATACACTCGATTCTGTGTGTCGAGAGTTTGTTAGAGAAGTATTTAGTTTTAGAAAGTTAAAAAAATCCTGGAAGGAATCGTTACCAAGTGAGTATTTAAGAATATTTGAATATAGTAAGAACAACAGACAAATCGGCATCTTAATTGTAAACAATATAATTTATTAACGATTTTAAAATAGTCCCTTGAAAACTGATCATGCCATTATAGTCAAAACAAGTTAGTTTAAATGTTGTCTTTCCCAACGAAACAATCCATTACATCAAACAGATAAATAAAACTTGTTCAATTTTCGTAATACTAATTAAAAGGACTCATCATTTAGTTCAGATACAAAAATGAATAAAAGTGATGAGAAAGCCGAAGAAGTTATCTTAAACTACAATTCAAGTGAACACGACGTAGTTTTTTCAAACGACGCAAAATATGTTTGTGATATTTGCCAGGAGGCATTTACACTGGAATCGAGCATGATAACACACAGAGACACAATTCATAATGAACGAAAAGATTACGCATGTGACATCTGTGAAGAAAAATTTGAGTTCCAAAGTCATTTGAGTAGACATCAAATAACGGTACACAAAGGCCGCAACGACTTTACATGTGACAGATGCGAGAAGAAATTTGTGAAAAAATCGAGTTTGTTTATGCACCAGAAATTAGTACATAAAGATCGTGAAGATTACTCATGCCCCAAGTGCGAGAGGAAATTTGAAAACAAATCTACTTTACTGAAGCATATAAAAATATTCCACGAAGTTTTCAAAGATTATTTATGTGAAATGTGCGCCAAGAGATTTGCAAGTAAGCAGAGTTTGCTCTTACACATAAAGAAAGTACATGACAATCGCAAAGATTTCACCTGTAATGGTCCCGAAAAGAAATTTAGAATAAAATCAAATTTGATTAAGCACCAAAATACAGTCCATGAAGGTCGCAAGGATTACGTATGTGACACGTGCGAGAAGACATTTAAACAAAAAAATAATTTGCTTATGCACCAAAAGACAGTACACGAAGGTCGGAAAGATTTCACATGTGACAAGTGTGAGAGAAAATTTACACGTAAATCGTGTTTGCTTTGCCACCAAATGACATTACACGAAGGTTGTTGTGATTTTGCATGCGACAAGTGTGAGAAGAAATTTGGAAACAAACCGACTTTGCTCTTGCACCAGAACACAGTACATGAAGGTCGCAAAGATTACGCATGCGACAAGTGTGAGAAAAAATTTGGAACTAATTCAGATTTATTGAAGCACCATAGGATAGTCCACGAAGGCCGGAGAGATTACACGTGTGACAAATGCGAGAAGAAATTTGGACAAAAATGGAATTTACTTTCACACCAAAAGACAGTACACGAGGGTCGGAAAGATTTCACATGTGACAAGTGTGAGAAGGCATTTAAACAAAAAAATAATTTGCTTATGCACCAAAAGATAGTACACGAAGGTCGGAAAGATTTCACATGTGACAAGTGTGAGAAAAAATTTACACATAAATCGAGTTTGCTCTACCACCAAATGACATTACACGAACGTTGCTGTGATTTTGCATGCAACAAGTGCGAGAAGAAATTTGGAAACAAAGCGGCTTTGCTTTTGCACCAAAACACAGTACATGAAGGTCGTAAAGATTATTCATGCGACAAATGCGAGAGAAAATTTGGACAAAAATCGACTTTGCTTTTCCACCAAAAGACAATACACGAAGGTCGCAAAGATTTTGTATGCGACAGGTGTGAAAAGAAATTTGGGCGAA